AGATGATCTTTATAGAAACTTTGAGAACGATGATGGTACAGAATCTAAGCTTCAGTTGATTGTACCTAAAAGTAAAGTGTCAGAAGTATTGCGTCAGTTACATGACGGTGCATCAGGTGGACACTTCGGTATTACGAAGACTCTGCAAAAGGTTCGAGAACGATTCTATTGGGTGAACTGTAAAGATGATGTACGAAGATGGTGCCGGAAATGTGAACTGTGTGCAACCAGTAATGGTCCAGTTGGTAAATAGAGGGCACCCATGAAACAGTACAATGTTGGTAGTCCTATGGAAAGAGTAGCAATCGACATTGCAGGTCCACTTCCAGAGACAAATGATGGAAATAAATATATCCTGGTAGCCATGGATTATTTTACGAAATGGACTGAGGCCTATGCGCTACCAAATCAAGAAGCTGCTACCGTTGCAGAGGTACTGGTCAAAGAATTCTTTAGTCGATTTGGTGTTCCTTTGGAGACCCACTCCGACCAAGGGCGAAACTTCGAGTCAACCCTTTTCCAAAACGTTTGTAAATTGATTGGTGTTAATAAGACCAGAACGACACCCCTGCATCCTCAATCAGATGGAATGGTCGAGAGGATGAACCGAACGATGGGTAAACACCTGTCCAAAGTTGTATCAAAACATCAAAGAGATTGGGATCAGCACATTCATTTATTCTTAATGGCATACCGCTCGGCCGTGAATGAAACTACAGGCCAGACTCCAACCTGCCTGATGTTAGGTCGTGAAGTTCGTTTGCCCTGCGACCTAGAGTTTGGCTGCAGACCTTCCGAAGAACATGTTGCAAGCGAAGATTATGTCGATCGCCTGAAGTTAAGAATGAACAGCATTCATGAACTTGCCCGAGAACACATCCAGTTAGCCAGTGACAGAATGAAAGATCAATACGATTCTCGATGCAAGAATGAAAGCTATGAAGTAGGTGATCTTGTTTGGCTTTATAATCCACAACGTCGTCGTGGCTTGTCTCCTAAACTGCAAAGACAATGGGAGGGTCCGTATGAAATTAAAAAGAGAATAAATGACGTAATATACCGAATTAAGAAGTTGCCGAAAGGTAAACCAAAAGTAGTTCACATAAATCGTCTTGCCCCTTATGCTGGCTCAAATGAAACCGAAGAAGTCCGAACCCTTCAACATGAGATCAAAGATAAACGGCGACCAAGCTTTAAGGAGTTTATGTCAAATTACGCAGAGAGAAAGAATGCTAGATTCGGCGTGACGACAGAAGTTCAGTAGGATCTTTTTAGTGTTCCGCATAACGTCTCTCTAGCCCACTGTGTTGCCCAAGATCTTGAGATGACTAAAGGAATCTCATCCGTATTTTATAAGAAATTTGGTCGTTTGGACGAGTTAAAAAACCAGCAGCCTAAAGTTGGAAGAGTATTGAGATTAGAAGATGGTTCTCGATCTTTGCTGTATATGGTGACCAGGAAGTCGTATACAGACAGGGCAACCTACGAGGATATATGGAGTGCTCTAACTAATTTGAAGAAAATCGTCTGCAATTATGACATTAAGAATTTGGCCTTACCCAAGATAGGCCATGCACTAGATAATCTGGATTGGAAGATTGTCAGAAGCATGCTAGAAGTGATCTTCCGAGAAACCGGTGTAAGAATTACCGTGTGTTGCACTAATCCAAAGAGATTGTGTCCTTCAAAGACAGTAGACTCTTATTTCTTTCTGAGGGGTTCATGCAGAGCTGGAGAGTCCTGTAGATTCCGCCATCTTGGGCCTACATATAGAGTTGCTGATCGGGACGCTCAGATCTAAGAGGGGAGCAGTGTTACGAACACGCATTTAGCGTGTACCCGTATAGCGGCTGCATCTCGAAAACGAACCGATGTTTCCAGAAACATCAGTCACGTACGCCTAGAGGTGGGAACTTTCTAGAAAATAGTAACTTTGGTGTATATATATATATATATATATATATATATATATATATATATATATATATATATATATATAACAATCTTAGGAGTGAGTTTTAGTTGATAAGAGAGTACCGAACTGTAAAGTTATAAATAAATATATTTATATAAATTCGAACCGCTCGTTTTATTTAATCACGTTACAATATATCCGCAAGACTTATAAATTACAGATTTCTTATGGGAGAATGGATGATGAGATTTATAGTTAGGATTTCGTGAAGACCATGTTTCTTTTGTAAACCACATGGTTAACTGTGTTATTAATGTAATGTAAGGTGATATCCCGAAAATTTATTTTATTATTTTGTTCAATTTCTATAGCAAACTTTAAGACTTTAAAACTTTTTAAGAATGTCTATGTTACAAGACGACATATACAGAATCTTGGGAATTTGCATGATATCCAATAATAAGGTCTGTTCTTTTTGTTATATCAGCTGAGATTTTTAACTTGATATGGTACAGGGTTATATTTGTCACCGGGAAAGTAAGCGCAGGGTATTATAATATGCCTTTCAGCTCTTTCGTTGGCAATTTTCATTACCACTCGTATTTTTAGCAATAGCAATATTTTTAGAGGTGAACTTGGGAACACAAATAAATATAAGTTTGAAATGTGCAAACATGCTCTTGGTGTATCATGCATTTGTTAGATCAACTTAGACGAGTTCTTTGGAACAAGTTTTTTCTAACCCTATGGCTCTTGAATGAGTCCAATATGACTTAGGTTTGTTTGTGGAAGCCTAATTCCTGCAAGTCTTCACCTTTGATTCTTTACCAATTTTTAGTATCGAGATCATTATTCTGTGCCTATAAGAATCTAAAAATATTATGTGTTGATTTGTTCAGACTATCAGGAAGATAATCCACAATAGTCTTCGTATGAGGAATGTTATTATCCTCTAAGAAGATACCCTCCTGCGGCTGTAATCCTTGAATTATGCTTTATAGCCACAACTGTGGTTTTATCCACACAAACTTTATCTGTGCCTTTGAATCCATCTTGATTATTTTGTCCAGAAACATCTCTTTTATGGCTATCAAGTGTTTCACTGAAAGAAACTATTGGATAATTTTGGGGCAGTAATTCTAACCTTATAGCTTTTACTCCCTGTATTTTCTCTCCGGTAAGTTTTTAGCAGGTTCTAATACCTTTCTTCCTAAGCAGCGCTTCTGGGTGTTTTTCTCAGACCAGACCCCCTTAGAACCTTTATCTTTCGATTTAACCTCCTCTATTTTTTTGTTTTGAATTTTGAAGTTGTAATTTTAAGCGACATTTCTATGAAATACTATTTATAGCGACGTTTATATTTTTGTGTGTCCGTATGAAATGCACATTGCAAAAAGAAGTTTATCCAAACCAGTAGAGATAAAAACTTTAGTTTTAATCTTTGAAGGGTTTCACAATGGGCTTCTGAATTTATTGTTTAACCCTTGGCATAAACTCGTTGTGGATTAAATCGTTACGGTCCCAAAAACAGTTGCCATTTTTTTGTTTCAGGAGTTTTGTAAGACATCCAAGTTTCACCTCCCGTTACGATCAAGTAATCAAGGGCTGTTCCCATTAGTTTTTTATTATGGACCTCAGTTAGAATCTTTGGTATCCACCGAGCGCATATTTTTTAGAGCCAAGGTGCTCAGACGTTACTTCATGTAAGAGGAATCGAAAAATTTATGGAAACGAATCACCGGGTTTTCTGAATTTTGTCATCTACTTTTTCCTTTAATTCCTACATCACAAGAGATGGCCTCCTACTCAGTTCTTCATCGTGCACGTTAGTTCTTCCTTGGATGAACATAATACACTTCTTCGACACTGAAGATTTTCTGATTACATTCAAACCACAAGCAGACTTTATCTCGTCAATACGGCGAACATTTTGCACATTCAAAAAACGAATCACTGCGTACTTCACATTTGGCAGGATTTTCAACGGGGTCTGCCATTTCAAAATGTTATAGAACAAAGGCACCGCGCGTGATGTGCAATCATTCTTTACTTTTCGGACGACCCTCGTATATAACAGAATTCTTGGTAATTCTACCGGTATTATTAAAGAGGATTGATTTTATTGGTTCTAAAACAGTACAATACACAAGAAAAAAATTGGTAGACGACCAAAACCGTAAAGTTACAAGAAACTAAATTGACATGACTGATAGTCACCCAAATCACTTATCAAGACTGCGAATTTTTTCTTCTTTAGTGTTCAAAACCGGTCGGCCAAGGTACAATAAACTGATAGTGAGTACGTATAATATTTATTTCTTTGACCTAATTAAAATGGACTCACATGTGCAACCCATTCATCATTTTTCTTCTGAATTCACAAAACAACTAAAGAAACTATGACCAAAAGACTTAATAAATGAATTTCTTGGACTATTGTAAATCTAGAGACTATCGTCTGGCAGATTCTCTCCCGCATATTTGTGGAATAGAAATAACAAATCTGACATGATTAGTAGTAACATTGTTTGACAAAATTTCACAAAAAGATGAATTCCTAATATTTTCGACGTGAATTAGAATGGGAATAGTATGCCGATCAACTTACATCGAGTTTTAGTGATAAAGATTTTGTGATTTATAGTTCTTCTCAGAGCCTTTTTTCAGTGCGTCATTAATTGTGACGTCATAAACTGTATTGGATGTGTCGAGTATTATTTCATGTTTCCAACATTTGTAGGTCAGAATTGTGGAATGGCAACTGCCGACGGCTATTTCTTTTCAAAAACAATATTAACTCTTTCAAATTTTTAAAAGTCATCTGGCTAATTGGTCTTTACCAAAGCCATCTAAATATAAAAAAAAAATTAAAAAAGAATTTTTAGGATTAACTCTTGGAGGTGGTCGTTTGGAATTCCAGCCTCCAAACTAAGAAATTAGTTCCAACTCGCGCAAAAACCTGTTAATTATCATAGAAACTGCTTTAAAAAATAACAAGTTATACGAGAGGTTTTTACCTCCCGTTTAACCTTGTGTAAATTGAATGAAAAAATATCGAAATGAAAATGACGAAAATCAAACTTACCAATTTCTGCCGCTTCTTCTATCCTCTCGTCATCCTTCGATACTCGAATTGTTTTACTGGGCTTTCGTTTCCGCCGAGACTTTGTGCTATCTGCACTATTATCGTCATTGCTATTTGTCGACACTGTGTCCTCATCTTTGGATACAGCCATCACTGGTACATTGTTAATACTGCTAGAGTTACTATTCTCATCGAATCCGGTCGTCGTCGTTTGGACGATGACACTGACGGGCTTGTCTGCAAATATAGAAGTAACTTCGGTTTCGTGGGACTTACTGGGTTTGTCTTCTTGAACATTAACTACTTTATCTGGTGTAGGATTGAGCCTTTCTAATATAGAATCTACCCTAACATTAGACCGTTTTTGAGAGGTTTTTACAACCTCGGGAGTGATAGCGGGAAATAGACCTTGCGCGTTTGTAGGAAAAAGTTTCAAGCCAGGACTGGCTGGCTTAACGATTGGGCTAGATGGTTTCAACCCCGGACTAGCCGATTTGGGAACAGGACCTGAAGACACTAAATTTTGATTAAGATTCCTAGCAGTAGAAAATAAACTGGAGCTAGCGGAGAAAAGACTCGAGGCAGTTGATATCTGTGCAGGACTTGAGGTTTTTGGATATGGAACAGATCTTATACTCGGACTTGATGACTTTAATCCAGGACTTATGGATTTTCTATTGGGACTAGATTGTAGAGCGGGACTGGTGCTCTTCGTGAGCTCAACAGCTTGTATGTCCAAAGCACTGGGAAGTAAACTGTTTATTTTGTTAGTGTCTCTAACACTCAAACTGATTGGAACCGGAGCTAATTCTCCGTTTTGATTGCCATTTCTTGCCAGGCTTAGATCAACACAGTCTCTGGGAAACAGGGATTCATTTTTGAACATTTCACTGAGGACGTGGCTGTGGGGGTAGTTTTTTAAGGCTTCCGTCGTTGGAGTGTGCCATGTCGGTTGGTGGAGCATGGAATGCTCATTGGACATATGTGCTAGCTGGGGCTGTCTTGGAAAGAAATTGGGGACCTGCAAGATAAAAAAGTAAAATTATAATTTAATTTAAATTTATTTTAAAGTAACAGAACTTGATTGTTTTACCACAAATATTTATATCTTTGCATTATTCAATTCATATGTATTTTTCATAGTTAACCAATTTAAATAAATTGAAAGAAATAATGATAGTTGGCACAAGGTGGAACTTAACTTTATTTCATTAAAAGTACAAAAGTTACCTGCAAATGATTCCATGCTGTGTTTCCTAGATTTGATCCCGGTACCTGCCGGTTATGTGGGTGATGAGGTGGACCACCAGACATGTTTGAAGCGAAGTTAAATTTGAGATGTGAATCTCACCTTTAGTAATCCATGGTTCAATCAGGTTGCATATCTATAACAAAAAGACACCATTTAAAAAAAATCATTTGAGGTGCTTTAAACTTAATATTGAATAAAAAATCATTCATTTCTGAACATTTTTTATAAATTTCTCTCATTGTATATTCTTGCAATTCGCAAAATAGTTTTTTTATATAATCTTTTTTTAATTCCATAAATGCTCCAATCGTCAGAAACGAAAATGCCAATAAACCTCTAAAAATTATATGAACAAGCTGAATTTTGTTGAGAATTTGTCAATATTGGGACTCCTTCATCTTCTTCTTCAAGTTCCACTCCTATCGGAGATTGGAAATCATTTTGGAAATTATAATTTTGATATTTACGCGCCTGAATAGTTCAACTGAACTGCAACCAAACCATGCACAAATATTGCGTAGCCACGAGATTTTACGTCTTCCTACGCTTCTTCTGCCTTTGATTTTACCCTGCATTATATTTCTTAGTAGTTCGTAGTTTTCACCTCTCATGATGTGCCCCAATTATTCCAATTTCCTGATTTTTATGGAATTTAATACTTCGCATTGTTTTCCTAGTTGTTCGAAAACTTGTTCGTTTGTTTTGCGATCCATCCATGATATTTTCAAAATACGTCGGTAACATCACATTTCGAATGCTTCTAGATTTTTAATGTTGGATTTTTTAAGTGTCCAAGCTTCAACCCGATACAAAAGGGTAGAGAAAATATAACATCGAAGCATTCTTATCCGGAGCGATATATTGATATCGCGATTACAAAAAGTTTTCTCATTCTATTAAAAGTTGACCGTGCAATTTCAATGCGGCATCTTATTTCTTTTGTCTGATCAGTATCTTCTGTGATCCATGCTCCAAGGTATTTGTACGAAGATATTTGTTCAATTTCTGTATTATCTAATACTAGCTTAACTTTAATGTTTTGTGCTTTTTACCATGAACTTGGTTTTCTTCAAATTTATTTTTAGTCCATAATCGTTGCAATATATATTTAGTTGTTCAGCAAGGTGTTACAGTTCTTCTAGTGTTCCTGTCAGAAGGACGGTGTCCTCAGCCAATCTTATGTTATTAAGTGGCTCACCGTTTATTATAATGCCCTCACTGATCTCGGCAAGCGCTAATTCTGAGATGGCTTCGCTGTATAAATTGAATAAAAAGGGTGATAAAACACACCCTTCGCGGACCCCACGGAGAATCTGGATATCCTAGGTCAGTTCATTTTCCACTTTCACTTTTGCTGTATGGTTCCAATAGAGGTTACATATGATTCTAATGTCTCTACTGTCTATGCTTTTATTTAATAAAATTTTTTTAAGTCGATTATGCTGCACTCTGTCAAATGCCTTCTCAAAATCAATGAAACAAGCATATACTTCCTGATTAATATCTAATCATCTCTGCGAAAGAACACTTACTGCAAACAGTGCATCTCGTGTTCCCAGTCCTTTCCTAAATCTCATTTGTGTATTACTTATGCCTTCATCTAATTTCCTACGTATTCTATTGTGAATTACTTTTAAAAACAATTTCAAGACATGACTCATTAAGGCTATGGTGCGATGTTTATTGCACTCCTTTGCATTGGCTTTCTTTAGGTATTATACCTGTTCTATATATGATATTGAATAGATCCAAAAGAGAAATCAATAGATTCAATATTCACAATTCGATAGGAACTTCATCAGGCCCGGGAGAGTTACCGTCTTTAGCTTATTTCATTGCATATTCAATTTCTTCTCGTATAATGTCAGGCCCAGTATCATCCTTAAATTCTTTTGGTGTTTATGTTCTCTCTTTGTCTTCAAAAAGTTGTGCTATATATTGTGTCCATCTCTGCACTTTTTGGTTTATATCTGTTATAAGTGCACCACTTTCATTTCTTAGTTGCCTAGTTTGAAGTGTTTTTCTCATTCCTGTTAATTCTCTAATTCTTTTATGCATGTTAAAAAGTCATATTTTTTCTCAATTTCTTCTAGTTCTTAGTACTGCTTATGTAACATTCTCTCCTTAGCTTCTTTTATTCTCCATTTAATTAATCATCAGTTTCATTATATTTAATTGGATTTTTTGTTTTCAATGATTTTCTTTCATTCATTAATAATAGTATTTCTTCAGTCATCCAGTCTTTATGTTTTCTATTCTTTAGTTTTAAGTTTTCATTTGCTGTTTTAATTATTGGGACCCAATCGATTTACAAAGAATCTGTACGCCGTAGAAAAAATGTTTTAAATAAAAAATGTAGTTGAGATAATTATAAACAAAAATATTTATTAGCACCTTTTGTGTAAAATGAACCGTTCTCTCAAAAACCACGTTTGAAGCGACCGGCGATTTTAGAAGAGGCAAAAAGAAAAATCCGTAACTTGGTGGCTCAGTTTTATAGACAGCAAAAAAAAATATCGCAGCATGAAAAAATCTGAAGCAGGCGTTCACTTTAATTCTTACTGGTTTGCCTACGATGTATTAGTATTTATAAAACGTTTGTAATTGAAGAACTCACTTCCACTGTTTTTTTGTATTGCAATATTCTTGTCATCCATAACGCCTTCATCATCATCTTTGGCTCGACAATCCTCTGCGGATCTTGGCCTGCTCTAAGATTCGTCGCCATTCTGTTCGGTTTCTGGCAACGAAACCGAACAGACGCCTTCATAACGCCTTCACATTTTGGAAAATTCCAAAAAACACTGAAACCATTAATGTAGATCACTGTAATATTCGGTGTTTTCCTACTTTGTAGGGTTTACATTTTATACAATGTAATTTTCTTTTCAGGAATAGCTCTTTCTCCTAAACTGATTTAGAAGGTTCACAAGTAACAGATTCTGATGAAGGTAGAAATGAGACCCAAGAATTTCAAGATGCATAAAATGGCAACCAAGGCATAAAAGACTTATCTAACGATAGTTTTCAAAAGCCATCAACATCTAACGCTTCTCGTGAGGAGCCTTTGGCATCTAACAAAGATTCTCAAGAACCTCGTAAGGAAACCAATAAAAATCCGAATAGCACAAATCTTGATGAATTTAAACACCCTAATAAAACTAGACATGTCAAACAAACACTTAAAAGAAAAACTGATGATAACGCTCGAAAATAAAAGGCATATAAAATAATTCAAGACATACAAAATAAACGACAATGAGGCAAATTTCATATATTTGGAGAACATATGGCATGTAAAATTAGGGATTTGAATACCACCTGCGCACAAAATATTGTAAAACATCTTTAAGTAATATTTGTTGCAAGTATGCGATGCAAGTATGGGTAAATATGATTATGGAATGCCACATTCAACTAACACACATGAGCCAATTTTATCCATGCAACCTTTCACGAGACCACAATCACATTCATTGTATTACAGCACACCAGCTACATCACCAGTAAATACATACATACAAAACTCTTTAGACTCCTCCAGTGCTTTTGGTTCTTCAAACATTATCGCTGAGGCATTTCAATTAAGTAACATGTAAAACTTCTAAATTTATCAATAAAGTTTACAACTTGGTCTTTAATTGCGACTACTAGAGCAGCTTTTGGAGGCTTGTTTCGCAATCTTAAATAAATACATCAAGCTGCTGTAAGAATCTCCAGTTGCCAGAAAGCGCAATGTTACAGCTAATCGTTCTTGTGGAGGGATAGCCTTTCTACAGTTAGTAACTGCTTTTTTTATCACTGGTGCAATTTTTTGCAGCAAAAATTTCATATCTGAACTACTTATGCGAAAAAAAATTGTTGAAGAACCCATCGATTCGAAGTTCTAATAAAACGTCATCTTTCTTTAAATCCAATAATAATTCCTTTCCACCATATTCTTTCCTTTTCACCACATAAGATTAGAAAGCATGCGGTAGCAGTTAATAAGTTTCCTTCATCACGTCACAAAACTACAGAAGTGTGACAGAATGTTGTACTCAACTGAATTTTTTGTGGTTCGACAAGTTCAAACATTGTTTTACATTGGAATCACTTATTTGAGAAACTCCAGAAGTCATAATTTTACCAAAATCATTTTTCCACTAAAATAAAACAAAAAATATGAAACTACAATAATTCAAATACGTAACACACAATATTATTACTACTGTATTCGTATTGACATTCGTGAGATTCTTGAGACAAGGAGGCGTAATATCGCCAAAGCTTTTCAACCTAGCCCTAGAAGACGTCTTCAAAACTACAAATTGGTCAACCTATGGCATTAACGTTAATGGCAACAAGTTAAACCACCTCAGATTCGCTGACGACATAGTGATTATAGCGAGCACATTCGAGGAACTGCAAATTATGTTGGGGGAACTAGCAGCCAGCTCCCAATACGTCGGCCTAAAAATGAATATGAAAAAAACAAAAATAATGAAAAACACAGAAGACCCCAGACATATAACTATAAACGGCAGTGAGATACAGGAATATATCTACCTAGGCCAAATCCTGAGACTTGACAAAGAGAACCAAAGTGCGGAAATTACTAGAAGAGCAACACTAGCATGGGCAGGATTTGGAAAACTTAGTTGGATACTTAAGAACCGCAAAATACCCCAATACTTGAGGAGCAAAGTGTTCAATCAATGCATCCTTCCTATCATGACATATGGATGTCAAACCTGGACCCTAACCAAGGCAAACATGAATAAACTAGTCACAACAGAAAGAACAATGGAAAGAGCAATGTTAGGTATACGACTGTCAGATAAAAAGAGGAACGACTGGGTAAGATCCAAAACAAAAGTCGAGGACATAACAATAAAAATTGCATAACTTAAATGGAGCTTCGCGGGCCACACTGCTAGACAGAAAGACCAACGTTGGAATACTACAATACAACATTGGAGACCTTACGAAAGTAAACGACCAAGAGGAAGACCACAGATGAGATGGGTTGATGACATTAGAAGAATAGCCTGAACAAATTGGAAATATGTTGCTCAGGATAGAGACCGATGGAAGGAGTTGGGAGAGGCCTATGTCCAAACATGGACGACAGAAGGCTAAGAAGAAGAAGAA